CGGTCTACAATAGTGATTTAAGCTCTAAGCCTTAAGAAATTGACCAATCACGATCAAGTATGAGGAGAATACTCGACTGTGATTGGTCAATTTCTTAAGGCTTAGAGCTTAAATCACTATTGTAGACCGACACTAAGGCCGAAAATACGTCATAGTTTAGAGGTTAAGTCATAAGGTTTAGGGCTTAAATCGCCTATTGTAGACCGGCACTTAGGAGCTTTAGGGACGGTTTGGAGATAAATACAAGCGAAATGCGATTCTGTTCGGTTACTTTCAGCCCGTATCAAATTACACATTGAAGATTGAAGATTGACCAATCAAAACAAAAGGAGCTAAAATTTCTTTGTCCCGATTGGTCAATTTCAATCGTCAATGTGTAGCCTGATACAGGCTTAATATTTTCCGTACACACATATGTACATACATACATGTGTGCGATATATGGGGATTTGTGTGATCACGATCGACGTCGTTTCGCGAAATGTTGCAACCAATTGTAGTATTGTAGTGTGCAGGTAGGTAGGTACGCTTGATTGCAAGGCTAAATTTCCTTGCGCCGAGTCAATAACGAAAACGATCTTGTTCCTCGAGAATTTTCCTTAGACACTTCTCGCGAGCTCGATGTAGTTGACATATCAACGTTTCTCATATTCGACGTTTTCGTACTTTCTCGCGCGTGGAAAGAACTCGAAGATATCCCCGAGACACGATCCTCGATTCCGTTCAGCTTGCGACGACGACGACGCATCACTCTAGAAATGCACCATATTCGGTGTTAATCGGCAAGAAGGCCGTACCTTGGATCGATGAGAAGAAAGAACTCAATTATATCAGTATGCAGAACGACGAGAATAAAACGCACGACGCTGTAGTGGATAGCGATGACGAGGATCAGAGTTTTGATACCAAGAAATCCACTGCGGATCGCGACGACGAGGTTCCCAGTCGCGGCACCGACAAAGCCACCGCGGATCATGACGAGGATGGATCGAGCCGTGGCAACAAGAAGTCCACTTCGAGTAGTAACGACGAGAATCCCGGTTGCGGCACCAAGAAATCCGTTGCGAAGAATGAGAGCTATGCATGGCCTATGTATCGCGCGTCCACCTCGCGAGAGAAATTGCTCGCCACTCCGGAGGATGATTATGGCTGCGAGCACTATAAACGAAAGTCCAAATTTGTGGTATGTAGATAAAAGTATGTAAAAGTTAAGATAAAAATGTCCCATTATTCTGTAATTTAACGTTTTCAAATTCATTAATATAATTAAATGTTTATTTATAGGATTTTTAATATATTATAATTTGGTTTATGTAAAATATTAATGTACTGTCTTTTAAAAAATCGTTTTTTTTATCGAGAAATTATATTATTACATCTTTTTGAAAACGTTAAATGTTATAATTGTTGCATATAAATATATAACACGTCTTATATTTGTATCTATTAACAGATTTAATATCAAGAATCTTATCTCAAAATATATAGTAAATAATAGGAGTGTAATAGGAATGTAAGATATAATAATAATATAATACATTTTATTTTTTAATATATAAATTTTTTAAGTAATATCTTGGTTTTTAACATGTGCTTGTTTTTTTTTAGACTCCTTGCTGCAACAAAGTATATACATGTCGTTTTTGTCATGATGAGCAGGAGGCACACACAGTAAATAGGAAAGAAGTCACAGAATTGATATGTGTTCTCTGTGATACTCGTCAACCTGTTCAAGCCACTTGTCAAAATTGCCATTGTCAATTTGGCAAATATACATGCCTCGAATGTAATCTTTTTGACGATGAGGATAAAAATCAATACCATTGCGACGGTTGTGGAATATGTAGAGTCGGTGGCCGTGACAAGTTCTTTCACTGTGCAAAGTGCAACATGTGTTTGCCAGTTCAACTACAAAATGGACATACGGTAAGGATATATATATAATAGTATATATACAAAATAATTACATAAATAAAAATGTATTGAGATAAAAAAAAAAAATAACAAGTAGCTCATTTAAAATGTGTATTTATATTTCATGAAATTTACACACAATTTTTGCTATATAAACATTGAATAAATTTTATTTTACAGTGCATAGAGAATGTCTCACATTCCAATTGTCCTGTGTGCCTCGAAGATATTCATACGAGTCGCACACCATGTCACATTCCCGGTTGTGGACACTTGCTACATCGTACATGTTTCAAGGAATTGTTGCAGTCAGGACATTATGCCTGCCCGACATGTCAAGTGTCGCTTTTAGATATGACGGATTTATGGAAATATTTAGATGCAGAAGTATCACTAACACCGATGCCAGAGGAATACAAGGACTATAAAGCTGATATTTTGTGCAAAGACTGCCACGAGGTTGAATCTACTTTCATACATATATCCCAAACATGTTTAAGTGATAAAAAAGATATTAATGGCAGGGTATCTGTTCTTTCAGGAATCGACAGTGAAGTTTCATATTGTTGGATTGAAGTGCTTAAACTGTGGTAGTTATAATACCTGCAGGATAAAAGGCTCACCTTCTCCAGGTAACTATCAATTGCTAATTAATTACAGCCCTAAACGATTATGTGAATTCTTCATAGTTTGTACAGATCCAGATGTCCTACCAGAAGCAGCAGCTGGTGGTAGTAGTAAAGAAGAGAAGGAGCAATCGTAAGGCTAAAAATCGGAGTATCATCTGAAATTATCTATCAATTACGGAAGAAGTACATCATACTAGTATTGTTGGGAAAAATTTTATAGATAAATTTTGTCTTTGACATTTTGTAGCAAATTGCGCTTTTTGTTGCCTTTATAGTACTCTAATCGAGAATTATTTAGCTAATTGCAAATTTTAGTACATAAAAATTAAATATTATTATTAAATGAGGCCAGATGTCATCAAAAAAGTACATAGCTGTTTTCAGTGATTATCTGTGACACATTTTATTGTAATTTTTTGGATCCAATATGTAGATCATTTCATTACCATCTTAAAATCTTTAAAAAAATGATACATAGATTTCTTGTTTTTTTGTCTCGTTGATTACATTGTAGTTAAAAACAATAGTTAATGAAGTGATCAACAAGAGAACATTTTGTGGACATTCCTTTTCACATATGTACACATGGGGACAAAAGTGTTTTAATACATGATTTTAGGCAGCAGACACACCACACACACATATATATATATACATATGGAACATCCAATATTCTTCGATATGTATATACACAAATTCATGTTAAGACATTTCTATTCTTGTGTATACATCATGTTTACATTAAGGATTGTTATTTGTTTTTAGTATTTTTATTTTATGAATATACAGGGTGTTCCACAATTTGTGTACTACCTGTTAATAGCAGATTCTTGAAGATATTTGGAAATAAAAATCCTAATACCAAAATATTAAGTTTAAATGGAAAGCATTTATAGCTGGCCAATAAGTTTGACCAAAGTTTGCGTTTTCAGACATTGCATAGAAATGAAAGTGTTCAGATATCGATTTATTTTCAAATATTAATATAATTTTGCATGATATCAAGAATATGCTATTAGGAAATGGTGCATCAATTCTCTTCTGGGACAAACCTATATAATACCTAAACTTACTTTGCAATATATATTATTATGTGATAATATTTCAGATGTATATACAATGTTTGATGAATTTGGAATCGACTTTTTCTTAACAAAAATATGCTAATACATCTCATTTTGTTGCATTTTTTCAATTTCAAAAATTAACTATGATGGTGATTGAAATTTCATAAACACCTTTATAATACATCTTTTTAGAATCTTTGGTTGCCGCCAATTACTTTTGACAGAAGAAAATTGAATTCCAAATTGCTCAACAAATTCATAGATGAAAGTTTTATGCTGCACATCTTTAGATATATCGATATCATGGGGACAAAAGTGTTTTAATACATGATTTTAGGCAGCAGACACACCACACACATATATATATACATATGGAACATCCAATATTCTTTGATATGTATATACACAAATTCATGTTAAGACATTTCTATTCTTGTGTATACATCATGTTTACATTAAGGATTGTTATTTGTTTTTAGTATTTTTATTTTATGAATATACAGGGTGTTCCACAATTTGTGTACTACCTGTTAATAGCAGATTCTTGAAGATATTTGGAAATAAAAATCCTAATACCAAAATATTAAGTTTAAATGGAAAGCATTTATAGCTGGCCAATAAGTTTGACCAAAGTTTGCGTTTTCAGACATTGCATAGAAATGAAAGTGTTCAGATATCGATTTATTTTCAAATATTAATATAATTTTGCATGATATCAAGAATATGCTATTAGGAAATGGTGCATCAATTCTCTTCTGGGACAACCTATATAATACCTAAACTTACTTTGCAATATATATTATTATGTGATAATATTTCAGATGTATATACAATGTTTGATGAATTTGGAATCGACTTTTTCTTAACAAAAATATGCTAATACATCTCATTTTGTTGCATTTTTTCAATTTCAAAAATTAACTATGATGGTGATTGAAATTTCATAAACACCTTTATAATACATCTTTTTAGAATCTTTGGTTGCCGCCAATTACTTTTGACAGAAGAAAATTGAATTCCAAATTGCTCAACAAATTCATAGATGAAAGTTTTATGCTGCACATCTTTAGATATATCGATATATGTATGATTTATGCATATTTCCTGTATGTGTCTAGCTAGATTTGCCTTCTGAAATGGCAACTGCATTGGTAGCTGATTTACTAATCATATCTAGAAAAATAATGAAAAATTGTGAACTGATGTGTGTGTTGTATGTTTGTGTGTGTGCATGTATGTATATGTGACTGTGTTGATGGAGAAAGAAATACAAGATAACTCAAAATCCTTTATATTATTAGCACAGTGTCATCTTGAGTAAAACTTTCTACTTTGAATATATAGTCTTACACATAAATGTTTACATTTTATCAATATAATGTGCAATATTGTTGGAATATATTTTTTTCACAAATGCCAATCATATTAGTAATAGTGACATATACTATAGCGTTCTTGCCGTATTAAGATATGTAAATTGATGGCCTAATTATAATTGCACTTTAAATGACATTTTGAAAAAACAAAGAGAGAGAATTTGATAAATTTCTGCTTGTAAGAATTGTGTTTGAAAACTTTTTATGGACATATTTTTTTATTTTGGAAAAAGATCTCACTTTAGTCATAATCTAGTCGCGGAAGATAGAGTGTACCGCCGCTCTCATAACAGTTTTTCTCTTAAGTGTGAATGTTTTACACAAGAGCACATATAAATTTGCACCAGTGGCACATGCTGATTCAGCAATGAAATATTAATGTAGTGAAAATGATTAGGAAAATATTTTAGGTTGAAAATGCTAAAATATTCTAATATGTATCCCAATCATTTCAATATGTATATGTTGAATTTACATTTCTCCCAAGAGGCATTCTTCTAGTGATTAATATTCACTTATTAATATAAATCCCTACGTAATCTGTTTTAGTATAATTGTACGTATATACAATAACTAGGTGAAATACTTGATAGTCATGGCAGATAATCGTGATTCTTGCTATTGTATTTTATCATATTTGATACAAAAATTTTTTTGTTACCGATTAATAGCCCTCGTATATATAAGAAACGACTGGCTAAAAACAAATCGGTAACTTTTCCTTAAAGCTTCAATTTCACAGTTTCGTGGGATTATAAATGGCACAGATGTAATATCTTGAAATTTTTGCTTCTGATTGAAAAGCAAATTGGTACTGAGAAGGTTTCTGAAGTTCTATATATCATTCCATAACATTCCAAGTAAAACAGCTCATATAGAATTTTAGTGAATTTTATATTTTTAGGAAACTACAAAATTGAGCAGCTTGACAGATCTTTAATATTTTTTAGTATGGTTCGTTTTTATAACATTCATATTAAATAACTACTTGTATGAAAACAACTTTATTACTGTTAAATGTTTACTTATCAACAGATTATGTTAAAGGCATGTTATGCGTCCAATTATCTACATAAGAAAAACTTCGTTTTTTATCTACATAAAAAAGATTTCGTTGTGATTATCATGGTTTTATTATATCCCTTTGTAAATTAAATACTAGTTACAAATGGTTCTTTGTACATAACGGCCGCAACAATGCTTTTGTTTTATATTACATATAATATATACTATTATATCAAATAAATTGGTTATAATTCTATTCCACTAATCTTTTTCCATATAAGAGGATGACAAGAATTCAATACTTGCGTATCAAGTGATAATATAATAATATAAAATTTGTTAATATCTGTATTTATTCGATATCACCCGGTACGCATATAAATTTCATGATAAAAATTGCAAGTTACTATTTGGAGGCGATTTCTGTCCTATGAGAGAATAATCTCAATTTTCATCTGTCATAGATACATTTTTAGAAACCGCCATGGATTGTAAACGTATTATCATTGCATTATAAACAGGGATGCTCAATTATTACTACATATATATTATATATATATATATATAATTTACATGTATACCGCGTTAAAATATTTATATTTTACTATCAATTACAGAACACAGAGGCTATTTTCTCATAGAACAGAATTTATTAGGGGTAACTGTAAATGAAATTATAAAATTTAAGTTCCGGCGAGAAGGAAAAAGAAAAAGAGATGTACTTCTCATTTTCCGATACATAGACAAGAAAGATTTATTACTAAATGATGAGAAGTAAACATTATCCTTTCCCACACTCTCCTTTCTTGAATTTTATAATTTTATGTACAACTAAAAGGGTTTGAAGTAAATAATAAAGACACTTATTTCTGTCTCTTATAACGGAAAAAGCCACCTCACTCACGCAATATAGAGTTGATAATCCACGCACATTAAAGTCAATCGATTCAATTTGTCGCTTAATTTATCTCTTGAATTCATAGTACGTGGATTATCTGAGATAATGGTCGATTCTTTGAACAAAAACGCTCTACATCTTTTTCTCTACGACTAGTTTTGTGTTTTTTTTTTGTGGCACAAGTGCGGCCGAGCGACTTGTGGTTTTTTCCGTTTTCCCATTTCTTTTATTTTATTCAAAAATTCAAAGAACGTGGACGTAACGGCAGGTATCCATGACTGCTTAGAAAACGTCGGGCGGCGCGAGTCATCTCAAGCTGGTCACGTGTGCGACCACATGCCACTGTTGTCCATTGCGGTTCCAATTGTAACTGCGAAAAGAAAGAAAAAAATGTAGATATGTGATTTTAACGCAAGGTACATTTGTAATAAAAATTAACGATATCGTAGTATGAAATTTGTTTGATTTAATAGAATAAAAATATTTTATTTATATATATATATATATATATATATAGAGAGAGAGAGAGGAGATAGTCGTATGCAAATGTAGCTATATGTATTAGTAAATTCTGCTTATAAAAGGATTTTAACTATGTTTATAAACATTATATATAAACGTTAGTTAAAATTAAATGAGGTTTAAATTATTTACTTCTACATTCATCGCGACTAACTTTTATTGTAATTGAAATTTTGGTATCTTTAATCATAATATTGACTATAATATAAACACGCATATAATGGTATTCAGTTTATTTAGTTATATAATTAATAGAGTATATATAGGATTAATTTCAATAACTGTCTCAATAGATTCGAATTTAATTTGACTTAATAACGTGATTTCTAAATTTTATAAACACAAAACCTACACAAAATATAAATATTCACCAAGAACTCACCTTGGGTCGTTTTATCGGCCTAAGAGGCAAAGGGCTGAAGATACAACAAGGACTGTCGAACGCGTCAAACGTGATCGCCCTCTTGGCATTCGGCTTCCGTTGTTGTACAGATGTAAAGTCGTGAGGAGTCTGGAAAGGATAGACACACACTAGCTGCAGCCGGCAAACAAGAGATATTCTTAGAAAATAGAATCCGCGTTGACTTTATATTTGAAAAATTCGGGAATGACTCGAAGTTATAAGTAATCGATGAAAAGAAATAGATCGAAAATATTAATTTATATTTTTCGGAGATCACAGAATGATATATGATAAATTAGTTTTGAATGTCATCCGTTTTTTCTCGCTTATTTGATGCATTTTGCAGAGGAAAGAAAGGAAGAGAAAGAAAAAGAAATAGAATGCCCACAATTTGTGGAATGACTAGGCCTTTGGGTGATAACATAAGGATTTTTGTTCGATTTGATCCCAGGTAAGGAGTTTCGGTGTTATTTTTTGATCAAAATAAAATACATTTTTAAATAATTAATAATCTCAAATAATTCACAATTTTAGAATCTGTTTATTATTTTCGTTTTTTTTTCCTATTGATTTTAAAATTATTTTTAAGTTTGAATAAAAAAGGAAGATTTCTTAAAACTCAAGAAAAAAACGATTTTGTTTGATGTAGCAATAAATATTCGAATAAAAAGAGGATGAAAAAGACTAGGCCTTTACGTTTTGGATACGCGCCGTGCACGTGCAGGTCGTTTTCGACTGGATACCGCGCATAAATATCTTTGGATCGGGAAGAGGTTGAGATACTTTGGTACGCTAGACCAGGCCTGTATAAAGAGGATGATTTTTCAGTTAGTATATGCAATTAACATGCGACATATGTATAAATATTAATATGAATATATAGAATTCATTATATCAATATATAATGTTAATATAATATATATTAATATTAATATAAATATATATTAATATGAATATGTAGAAAAAAACATTTAAAAAACATTACGATCGTGCAGGATTATCTAAAACTTAATTTGCAGGAAGAAGGATTTTTGTGGAATGATGTTAACATATGTTCGAAATAACAAAGTAATATAAGATTAACATCGTTTCAAACGTGTTAATGCATTCATACATCTGCGTATAGCGTCATTAATATAATTATTCGCGATTCATTGTTAGAATCCATTCTCAGCAAAATTAATAAGAGCGAAGCAAACAAAAACGGAACAAGATCGGTCATATGCCGATTATATGTACACGCTTTAAACATAATTAATAATTTATATCTATTGTTTCGATCGAAAAACATAAATGACCACAATTCGTAAAATCGACAAATGCCTATATAATATAAAAGTATTCACGTACATAATTTAAGTACCTTTTTTGTTAATCAAGATTGAATGACATACAATGTATTTTCTCTAATTTTACAATGTATAAATTAATAATTTATCTCTCGTTTTAAAATAATAAAGCTAATAGAGTAATAGTACGTATAAATAATTAACAGGGCAAAAGACGCACGCGTCATTGAAATAAGTTAATATAAATAGATCGAGCGTCCGTAAATGCCATATATACATATATATGTTAGTTTATTATATATTATTTTATTATACCATATCTAAAACTAACACGAACGATAATCTTTGGATTGGGCATTAAGAGATATATATAGATAGATAAATAGATAGATAGATAAATAGATAGATAGATATGTATAGATAGATAGCCATAAAGACAAAAAAAAATAGCAAGTTATTGATATTTTCTGCGCTAATTGGATTTATTCCTTAAACAGATAAGAATAAGCATTATACATATAAATATAAAACAGATAAAAGATGCAGAAAAAAACTTGAAGCATAGACATAGCGTTAAAAAGAGAGTTAAAAGGCCGGCTAGCGTGTCTAGGGACGATTGGTACGGGAATAATACCAGGATAGGGCAGGTTGATCATGAATTTGATTTTGGATATGTTGTTGCTCTACCTTTACTGGACTAGTTCCTGCCGTTAAGAAACTATCTTCCAGTGCCATGGATTCGGGTGAGAACAGCATGGAGGCGTTCAAACTCTTACTCTGGGAAAATAAAAACAATGGTACACATTATTATCTGGTCCGTTACATATCTCTTGTAAATTGCGAGCGTGTGTTCAATCAAACGCAACAATTGCAGAATTGTTAAACAACAATTGTGCTTGTGATTGGTACATGCTTTTGATTTTATTAAATCAAATGCCATTTTGAAAAGCTAATCGCTTATATAACTGTTGTGTTCGCTGAACAACCTCTCTATTTGTCTCGAGTAATTTTATTTATAGTATTTTATTTATTTAGTGTAACATACTGGTGTCTCCACGAGAAAACTCATATCGGAATTGTCTTGAGACGCCCAAGCTTGACAAAGGGCCTTGCGCGCTCGTTTTCCTCCTGGTGCACTGTTCTCTTTACCGCGTCTTCGTACTGTGTTGTAACCCGAGTCCTGAAGAATTGTACTCGTGCTAGCCAGACTCTCGCGATCGGTCTCTTGCTTGATTATCTCGGTCAGAGCATCTAGACGACTAGGAGTAGCTGGTAACTGTGCCACTCCGGTTCGTCGTTCGACTTCGGCCATAGCAATTTTGAATGGCGTCGGTGTCCTCGGTGTATTATCGTCTGTAAAAGTAATGGTAGCAATAGAAAGTCTTTATTTCTAGAAAAATATGTTTTAGAACTTTTATACAAGCGTTCTATATATAAACGTTATCTCGATAAAGAGATTTTTCATGGAATATAAGGAATTATTCAATTTATGTGTAGAGGATTTATTTAATACACATACAATATTCGTTGTAAATTTGAGTAAATTTGAGGTGTATGTACCGTTTTGATTTCGTCGGAGACCGGTAGGTTGCGGAGTCGTAAGCGGACCGGGACTGCTTCCTTTAGGAGTACTCGCGCGCGGCCAGGAGTGTTCCGGACTCAGAGTGTTCAAGAATTGCGAGGGGCTAAACGGAAGCGGCTTGTAAGGAGTCGAAGGAGTCGTGTTTCCCGTTAGCGCTTGTTGGTCTATTATATTGTAATCCGATAGATGTCCGCTATCAGGGGTATCCTCTATCCTCTGCAGACTCTGTACTACATTTTTGCGTCTGCGTAATATAGGAGGCGGACTGCTCTTCTTCTCTGTCTGTTCGGATATCTCCTCTAAGTCAGGCATTGGTATCAATTTTATATCCGAACTTCTCGACGTTTCTTGTGATAAGTTGTAATACCTGCGCATACGCGCGAGAAAGAAAAAAGTTAAAATCTGCAAACGGAGTAAAACAGTAGACATTATATTACATTATTTCAAAGATAAACATACTTAGAGAATGATGAAATTGTCTCGGTTTTCGTTCGAGAAGAGGTTCTCTTCGACGGAGACTGCATACGCTTTTCATTGTCACGTGCACATCTGTTTGACAATAACATTGTATCCAGGTATCCGGGCGTTGTAAGATGCTGCTGTTCCAAAGTTCTGATCCAATCCAGATCAACATCGAGAGTGTGTGAAGTACTGCCAGCAGTTAGCGGCGAGACACCCTCGACGCTGATTAAATCAACTTTTACCCGACTTGAGTCGCAAAGGCTGTCTTCTAGATCTCTTATGGTAGTAGTGGTTTCTGTATTTTTCCTCTTGCCCCTACCTATAAGTTTTGTTGATCTCTTTTACTATTTTATCAAGTCTGTTTTACGGAATATAAAAAACATAATTATATATTCACACATTACAATAAATTTCAAAAAATAGTACTACCAAGTATTATCACGATATTATATTATTTAAATTTTATTTGTCGCTATGTGTATTGTGAATAGCACCTTTGATCGTAGCTCGTCCTTCTTCGCTTTCATACTTTCTTCTCATTGTGCTATTCCAATGATTTTTAATCGCATTGTCAGTCCTGCCTGGCAATAATTTGGCAATCTTCGCCCATTGATTACCGAACTTACGATGAGCCTCGACAATTATTTTATCCTCCATCTCAGTCCATGCGGTTTTTTTAATCTCCGGATTCAAGTGATTGTGCCATCGCTCCCGGCATTGTTTACCAATCCGGCCTTTAAGATGTCGCGCTATCAATGTCCATTTTTTCGGGCCTAATTTCTCTACAAGTTCAACTACCTTCTCATCCTCCTATAAAAGACAAAGCAAAACATTTTATTTTATAAAATATAATATAGAGTTTTTAAAAAAATGTTTACAAAATTGTTATAATAATATTTTATGATTTCGGATCATATTATATTATAATGGAGATATATGCGATTGTTTTTCTTTTAGATAAATGTGTAATATAGAAGTTTTGAGGAAATTCATTATATTATCAATTTTGTATTTCGATTCTTTTTTTCAATATTTCAATAAAATATAATAATAATTCTTACTTGATAGACAATAAGGTTATCAAAATATAAAATCTGACTTACAAAAGCTTTCCCTTTAATTAAAAAATCTAGTTTAAAAAATATTACATCGCAGAAGAGAAAGAATGTGTGTTCTATGTGTAAAAATCTAACATGGTACATAATTTATTAATTTGTTATAGAAATAATATAAGTGATACTCGCGCGATATGCAAATATCAGAATAAGAATATCTTGAAATTGATATCTTGACAAAGGAGTACCGCAATGGGAAAAGGCCAATAATATGTATATACGCGCATTTGATTCGCGAAGCCGCATTACATGCCCTTGGTTGTTGCCAAGTGCATTGGCACAGCGATGCAGCATCACCGTGTGGTTCCAACTTTTTCTTATTGCATACTCCATCGAGGTGAGCAGCAATACTAAGATCCATGTGTGCGTAGGTGGTATGTGCAGTGCCGTACGACGATAATGTATCACCCAATAATATATAATATATATGTATATATGTATGCATATATTGTTGGGTGATATATTATCGTCATTAGTGATATATATACATATATAAAATTTATCCAACATCAAAAAACTCGATACAATATAATCATTTTGCGATATTGGTACGGTATATCGTGGTTAATTATCATGATAATGAAAAGCGTAAAATTTAGAAAATTCAGATATTTACTGAAATATATTGACAATTTTTGTAAGCGATTTATAAATTCCAAGATTGTGCAGATATTGAATAAATTTGAATTTATATGTGATTATGTTATGTGTGTGCATACATTTTATATATATATTAAATATTAAATTATTGAAGAGAATGATAAATTCCGGAAATATTTTTTAAATTTCCCACCTCTTTCGTCCATGGACCCTTGACCAACTCCGGGTTCACGACTTTAGCCCATCTCTGCTGGCACTGGACATCGCTTCGATCTGGGAAACGACTGGCTATAATGTCCCATCGTAGACTAGTGCCGAGTTGTTCCGCATTGCTTACTAGTTGCTTCAATAAAGCGTCCTGCAAAAAGAAACGCGACGCATATAGTGAAAGTATTTCATAAGACGAGGAAGGGCGAAAGCACAACATGCGGCACAGGGAGATCGATCGACCTCCGTAGGCTTTCCCACGTGAAGTCGTATAGTACACCCTATGTTCTATGGGGTAACCGAGGCATCTGTCTCCCGGCATGCACGGCGGCGCAACTCGTAGAAAATACGAAGGGTGGACATTTTTTTTGGGATCCGCACGTTTATTGTCCCTCCCTTAATTTGCTACATAGAACCGATATAATATAACGATATATATGCCTGTCCCTTAATAAAAAACTATCGCGGAATCAATATAACTTCAAAAAAGAAATTTCCAGGTAAAAAGTTTGCAAAAATTTAATTTTATGATGAGAGAGAGAACTCTTTCCTAATATTAAAAAATTTTTATATATAATACATCAAATTTTTTTATATCAAAGCTAAAATAAAAAAAAATACTAATAAAAATTATATTTATTACAATATAAATTCTTATATTGCGCGGTTTTTCTTAAATATATAATAGAAGCCTTACTTCTTCTTTGGTCCATCTTCCTTTATTTATATGTTTCCCTTGTCCGTGACTTGGACCGTTAATGGATATTTGATTTTGCACTTGATTTTGTACTTGATTTTGTACTTGATTGCCTTGACTAACCATGCCATACTCGTTGTCGGATTCTCCTCCACTACTGGAATCGTAACCTGACCTAGATCGAGATCTGAAATATACAATGAAATACAATATGATGACACACATAAAATAATTTGTGTCAAAACAAACATCGCAAGTAAAAATAATATTTTATAAACAAGTCTTTATATATAGATATAGTGCGAGTTAAACAAATTATATAATTATTAATTAGCATTTTTTCACAAATAATTACAAGATTTGACTTGTCCTCATTAAATACAGATGATAAGACGACAATATCGCGAGTCACGTGTCATAGATTTTGTAAGTCTGTAGACATTTCGAAAAAAAAGGAACTCTCAAAATCGATGTTTTTAAATTTATAGTTAGTACTAACAACATTGATAAGAAACAAAGAATAGAAAATTAAGGTGTTCCGCCAATACTCTGTAATCTTCCAGATATCGCTAATAATATGGCGTTGTAAGGAAACGAGTGTCTTCCTTTCCGCAATGTGGGATTTGTAATCACCCGCTTGAATCAAAATTCTGGCAATACGGAAGCTTAACAAACAAAATATATATCTTCTATCTGGTGGGAAGTAACGACTGAGACGGGAAATCACGGATGGGTGAATATCCTGCCCCGATTTTTATGCTTCCTTTCTTTTGTCGCGCAAGTTCTATCGTCACCGTCCCTTCCTAATTTCACCCTCGCTATTCGGGAAGCAATCTTGACCGCGAAAACACCGGTTTTTGCGGTCACGAAGGACTTGATCTTTCCTCGTTTTGGGATTTCCTGTCACGTTTCGTATGCAGGTAATTGGAGTGCTTCCTTATTAACTTTTTATATCCTTCGCACATCCTCCCCCAATCACTTACCGTCAGTTTCAAAATTTTATGTTTACGGTAGAAGAATATAAGATATAAAAGATATACTAGAGCGCACATAGTTACTCATACATATCAATTAATTTTTATTCGATTTGATTAGAAACAATTATCATTGCCCTTTTATTTTTTAGAATTTCAATATAATTTTTATTTTTATTGTTTCTAGAATCTCAATCTCCGGAATTTTTCTGAAAACGTATCGGAAATTCTGGAGACCCTTCGGAAAAAAAGCAGGTTAATTATAGAGACAATTAAATTGTGAAAATTTTGCTAATTTTTCGAAGAGGTGAGTCTGTGCGCATTGTCCAGGCTATTTCCAGATAACAATGCATTTTGAGAACAGAAGGCAATGTCGAATAAGGCTCTCTCTCCTCTATGTACCGCGCAATCTGCTTCACCCTCGCTTTTTCCCCCTTTCCCTCGCCCCTAACAGCTGCATATACCGGGGAGAGTCCAGGGTGAACGCGATTGGGGATACGCTTAGCTTATGCAACGATAGCATTCGCGGAGCACCATGGATGTATGCGTGTGTGTAAACATATGTGTGCTGCAGATGGCCCGGACTCCTATCGTTCCTATTGCTTAATGCATTGCCGAGCATCGATTGAAAATATCTTCACCTCTAATGAACCTATTTTAATCATGAACTTATTATGAATGCAACACGCGGTTAAACAAAAATGTTGTATATCATTAACGTCGAGAAAAATTGAAGTGCCATATGTCTATGAAAATATTTTTTATGCAGAAAAATTATTGTTGTATAAAAATAATTTCGTTATATAGAATTAACTTTCGCGTATATATAATAATTTATTATACATAATACTTAACGTGTGACAACGCTTATAATTCATTTCAAGCGCCATGCTACATATGTTTGCTACACATTGCGATACGAAAGACGAAATTACGTCATCACAAGCGGCTCGACACCATGGAATGCAAACAAGCTAAAACGACATCACTCGGTTAATTACATTCGAAGAAAGAACTTCTTTCATAACGACGCGATCGCCCGTTGCAACAAGCGCTGGTTTCTAAGTAATACTGATTATGATAAATAACAAAAAAAAACCTTGCTCTATCAAAAATGACATATCAATACAGTCCTATCTGTATGTATATAGATCGATAGTCTAAGAGATATACAATATACGAAATGATGGATTAAAATATTAATTGTATGTCCCAACTCGACTCGATGATTGTAATCGACTTTTCATATGACAGATATCGATAACGCCATGTCCTGCACCTTTTAATATGAATATATAATTTCATTGCAGGTGCGTGTATGTTTATGTGTCCAATATCTTGAGAATATTTAAAAATTTGTATAAGATGTGATACAAAAAGCATCGGTACAATAAAAACAAAAGCATCGATGCAGTCATGATATAAATTGCTCCTAATGTAACCCTTTCCAATAATAATAGAATGTAATTTTACAAAACGCGAAAAGCAAATATAAAAACAAAAGGAATGGTCTCTATCCTTTCAGATAATAATAGTAATTCAATCAAAAATCATTTATTTCTTTAAAAATAAATATAAAAAAAGTTATCTTTTATATAAATATAAAAGTTAAGAATTTGCACACACACATACACACACTTACATATTGTATACAGAAACATATACATTTAAAATATTTTACATAATCATCACTAATTTCTATTAATGAGAACGACGTCGAGTCGGAGATGTATCGAATTAGCACACGAACGGAGCGAGTCTTTAACATGTTACGTAAAGGCTTTCGCCTTCGAAAAACTTCTAACGATCGCACTATCCTTGAATTTAAATCCTTTGGGCACGTGAAATGCCAAAGAATCTTCTTCGCGACATTCCTCACCATTTGTGAAAACACGCCGGCATAATAATGACTTTGATGTATGAATAAAACGATCATTGTCCAAAAAGTGAGATAGTAGAATGAAATAATTGAAAGATTAGAGCAAATATACATAGTCGTTCTGAAAAAGAAATTAATAATTGTATACATGTAGAAAAATATAATCCCTTAATAATAATAAAAACAATGCATATTTTAATGAACGTCAGTAAAATATTAAAAATAATTTTATACACAAAATAATATCCGCAAGTTTAAATTTATATGTATGTAAATAGCTATGGCTATGTAATATATACATATAATCTATAATTTATGTAATATGGAAATATATAATTAAAGCTGTATCCTAAAAAATATTGCATTACGCGTTTCATGTAAAAAAATAAATTATATTTCTTCGATATTTTTCAATATTATTAATAATGAATTAGGTGTTATTTTATTTGCGTTAAAAATTTAAAGCACAAAAGTTTTTGCATAAACTGCAAATTAATATAATAACTTTGTTAAGAGTTTTATGAATTGCAATGTGAGAATTATTGAGGATCCAAAACCTTGTATATAACGCGTGAATACGTGCTCAACAAAAAGTTAAAGAAATAAAGCTATTCTCGAACGCCTATTAATCAATTTTAATTGGCGACGATCATGGAGAAAGAGAAGGAGAGAGAGTAGGTACAAAGAAATAAACGGGACAAAGTATAAAATGATTTAGAAGAAATATAATAGAAACAGAAATAATAGAGAAAATTCTCTGTAAAAAAGCTATATATATTAAATAAAACCATTAATATTCAAACAATAGACGGAAAAATATTAGGATCGGTGAACTATAGAAGAAGCATTTTGTTTTACGTGCTTATTCCTGTATTATCCTTATAAAGTGTCAGGTAATAAAATCAGGTAATAAAATCAGTAAAAATAATGACGGAGAAAGAAGCTTCGTCCTTCAACCGTTTTCACAAAATTGTTAAGAAATATTAGAGTAAATTTATACGTAGCTTTTACTTGAGAGGCGACAACAGAAGCAGGTGCCATTGACAGCTGCTTACTTGTCTAGGAAGATAAACGTCATGCACATCTTTTGTCACACCAGGCAAAAATGACATATCTTTTTTTATATTTTTATAGCCTCCAATATATGTAATATATGTATACTATGTGTTACTTAGATACATGTTATAAAAATTGACCTTTAACGCAAGATAAGAAATTATAAACGAAGTAAATTATCGGTAGATAACCGTATTCATTGAACCGTATGCATTTAATTTTATATAAGAAAAGTTTCATTATTTTTTCTTTTGTTAATAATATATAATATTCAAGATAATATAACGTGTGTAACAAAACATAATAAAGTATTGATAGCTTTTCACATTTCCGTTTATTGAAAACGAGAAATGCTCGAGCGAAACTTTCGAAGCGAGACGAATGTGGGAATGACTTATAGGACGGATATCGCTAAATATTAGACAATAAAACGACGACACGTGGGACGAGCTATTTGACTTCTTCTCGTGAGAACGAAAAAGGTAGTCGTGTGTGTGTGTCCGTGTGTGCCGTGGTAATGGACATCTGCCAAAGTTCCGAACTTTCCCCTCTTTTTCGTCCGCGCTTCTTCCGTTCACGTTCGGCGCTCACGCATGCAATTCGCCTTTACGACACCAAGCGCCCTTAACTCCTCTTCCTTCCTTCTTTACTTCCTTGCTTCCGCCTGTTGCGCGTCACGCAACAATAAGGTCATCGCGCGAGGCAAAGTCCCTTCGTGGGCATATAAAAACCTCCGGCCGAGATCGAAAGAATTATGACTCGAACAAAACAAACTTTGCGTTCGGGACTCTGGGACTTGTCGGCATACTTGTTAAGATAATTGACATAATCCTTTGTAGAGCCGCCGTTAATTAATTTAACATACACAAGTTAATTCTACGTTAACAGATTATTCAAACTTTTTCTTTATACTCGAAACGTACTTTTTGCCGTAACAGCAATAACTTTTAAGCTACATTAAATTTCCTGTGACACACACACACACACACACACACACAAACACACAGAAAGTGAGAAAAAGAAGGAAAAAAGAGAGAGAGAGAGATAAAAGATTTAGTTATATCTCTTTTCGCTTCACTTTTCATGGTCATCTCTTGAGAAAAGATTCTTTATCGCATAATATGATATGACATCGGGATTTGCATTTTATCAAACGGACTAGTATAAGTTTGTGCACCGTTATATCCGCAACGTACATAACAGAGCAACAGAGAAAATATTGGGTCAGCGTAAATATAGATCCCGTCGTCGTGTTGGTCGCGTGCGACGCCCGCAACA